TATAGGGTTGCCTAAAAACAAACCCAAATGGTAATAAACTATTTCAATTCACTTCTGATTTAAGAATTATAATATCACCACCCTCCAAACCAACCTTCCACAGAACAGGTAGACAACCAGACATATTAGATATTGCTCTAGTTTCAAATCCCACAACACAGTTATATCACCAAGTTGTGAATGAACTAGACTCGGATCACGTTCCAGTTATCACCACTTTGTACGAGCAAATGGAATTAATTCCTCAAACCCCAAAATTAATAAACCGGCCAGTAAACTGGAACATTTTCAGGGAAAATCTCAACAAAAACCTTATTATAAACAGATCTCATCAAGACAACAAAGAAATAGATAACAACATACAACACCTAACAGAATCAATAAAAAATGCAATCAAATCAGCCTTGGCACCAGAAAAAAGTAAACCGCGAGAAAACTCTCTACCGCTCCACACTCAACACCTAATAAAAGAAAAACATAAAGCCAGAAGATTATGGCAAAGAACAAGAACTATAGAAATTAAAAAACGATTAAACCAATTAACACGTAGAGTCAAATGGGAACTCGATAACAATAGAATTTAAATCTTACAAAAATGATCTATCTGAACTGAATCCAAACGATGCCAGCCTATGGACCGCCACAAAAAGAATACTCAAACAAAGAGACACTATTCCTCCTCTTAAAGCTGGACTGGCAAAATATGAAACAAACACTGATAAATGTAAAATTTTCGCCCAGCACTTTGAAAATTGTTTCACAACTGAGGCTACCTCCACAAATATAACACAGCGAATAGACTCTATAAATACATATTCTGCGGAAACAAATACTATCCATCCATGCAGTCCCAAGGAAATACAACAGATAATAGACAGACTTGCAAATAAAAAAAGTCCAGAACACGACTTTATTACCAATAAAAATCTTAAAAACCTTACCCCAAAAACCCTTGCGTTCTTAGCCAGTATTTATAACTTCATTTTAAGAATAGGATATTTCCCAAACACTTGGAAACAAGCAATTATCATTCCAATTCACAAGCCTGGAAAACCAAACAGTTCACCAGAAAGCTATAGACCTATTAGTTTATTACCTACCCTCTCCAAACAATTAGAAAGAATACTGCTACACAGATTGAAACCATACCTAAAAATTATTCCACTTCACCAATTCGGCTTCAAACCTCACCACTCCACTTGTCATCAACTACAGCGAATCTCAGAAATAATAGTAGATGGATTTGAAAATAAAAAGTACACAACCACTGCCTTTCTTGACGTTGCACAGGCCTTCGACAAAGTCTGGCACCAAGGCCTCATGTCCAAATTAACAAAACTAAAACTGCCAACCTATCTATATAATATAATATCATAATTTATCACAAACCGTACGTTTAAAGTAAGAATAGATACTGATACCTCTGAAGAACACCCGATAAAAGCAGGGGTCCCACAGGGGTCAGTCCTTGGCCCCACCTTATTTAATATTTATTGCTATGATATCCCAGTTCCACAAAAATGCCAATTAGCCATGTACGCAGACGATACTGTTATCATGACACAACATAAAAATCTTGAGAACTCAATATCAGATCTATAAATTTCTTTAGACCAAATTTCAGACTGGTTTACAAAATGGAAACTCGCTCTTAACCCAACTAAGAGCGAAGCGAAAATATTTACCTTAAAGAGATATACAAATCCACCTCAATTAAAAATTAAAAATCAGCCTATATTATGGAATAATAAAGATCAATCAATTAAATATCTTGGAGTTTACCTTGATGAAAAATTAACATGGAAAATGCACATTAATAAAAAATTAAACCAAGCCTACACACGATTGAAAATCTTATACCCCCTAATTAATTACAGCTCTACACTTCAGATCAAATGCTCACTTCTAATATACGCTTCAATAATAAGACCTTTAATAACATATGCATGCCCTATATGGGCAGCCGCATCTCAAACAAAAATTACAAAATTACAAACGATACAAAACAAATTTCTCAGAATAGCTCTTAAAGACCCATGGTATATGCGAAACACACAACTCCACAACGACACTGGAATACCATACCTAACTACATGGATAAATGAACAATTTAAAAAATTTCATTCGAAACTAAACACAATAGAAGGAGCCCTTCACTTCAAAATTGGGAAAAGAACCAAAAACCGCCGACTAAAGCCACGTCTCCCACAAGATATCTTACTACGTCCAGAATCATCATCGGTATCATCAGATTAATGACCTAATTAAAACAACTCATAATTTATGTACAATTTGCTAAATTAAAATAATTTATAAATTATTTTATTACTCTATTATGCCTACTTAATTATGTAACTTATTAATTAATATATTGTAAAAACAAGATTATGTTAAAACAATTAAAATATAATAAATTTAAAAAAAAAATTTTTTTTACTATAAATAAAAATTAAACATAAAAAGTATTTTAATTCAATTGAAATAAATTAAATAATAATAATTTACTGCATAATATTTAAAATTCTATAGTCTAAAGAATTAATTGAAAATTATTGAAATTTTATGTTTAAAATCAAAAGTTGAAAAAGCCGAAGTATCGTTTTATGGCTTTATTAACTTTTGGAATTTGAACAGTAGATATCCCACATATTAGAGTGGCACAATTAAGCATTAGCCAATAGGTTCTCGACGTGTAAACATAATTGAATAGAACAACATTTTTTTTGGAATTAGTATTAAAAGTGTAGAACAAGTGTAACATAAAACAATTTGTGTTTATGTACATAGTACAGTGTGATTGGTTAGCTATAACCCAGTTGATATCTTACAAGATATTAGATTTATTAAATTATTAATTTTTGTATTTTTTCATTTATATATATATATATATATATTATAATAAAATTACATAGTACATTTTATGGCTAAAATATAATTGTTATTTTCAATAGTCACGTCCTAGAAATATAATAATATTATCTTACTTACAATTTATGTTCATTAATATTATTATGAAAACATCATCTAAATTAATGCCATGAATAATCTAATAAAGTATTCCTAATAAAATAAAAAAAGTGAAAACGATTTAAAACTTACTTGTATAGTAGTTATTACTTGTTACCTCCGTTGAGCTTCCAGAACTATTGGAATGTGGAATTATTGTGAAACGAAAAACATTGTTGTCTATTTATACACATTCATTTCTGTATACAAAAACAACGATTAGATATTAAATTATCAATTCGAGTTACTTGTAAAAATTTATAATTAGTGTTATTGTATTAATAGGTTATCGAAATAATCTTTTGATGTTCAAGAGTGTTCAATTTATATACCAACTCCTGGCAATAAGTATAATACTGAAAATATTTGACGAACGAATTCTAAAATGTGGGTATATAGTGCGGTATTTAAACACTTTACACCTCCGTAATTAAGTTGGGCGGGCTCAGCATAGTTGTGACTTGACGCCTCAGCTCATTAGTAGAAAAAGTCATCATCGTAATATCCAAACAACAAAAATAATTTACATAATATTGTTATAACTTACAAAACTACTTAAATTTTAAATTGCATACAACATAGACAGGTACAGTTTGAATTAGGGTATCGTTTATTAATATTTTTTCAACTTCATTTGTCCATAGGCTAAAAATCGTGATATCCAACACTGAAAAACCAATCTATGGCATATTTATAACAAGTAATTAGATTATTATAGTAGCAGTCCATTAACTAATATAGAATTACCAAGATCATACTATACACTTAGTAAATTGTATAAAAATACGAATAGCGTACAAGTAAATGTTAAAAGCGATCATTGAATAAATGTTTAATGGAAAAATAATAGTATTCGATAATAGTTTATTTTCTGAAACATACATGCTCCAATAATAAAAACACACAAATACCTACACTATGTGTAAACAACCAATAAATAAACAACCAAAAGAATATTATTAGAACCTCATAGACCATTAAATATTGTTTAAGTAATTGCAATTAATGTATTTAGAAAGTCGTTTTATAAAATTAAACGAAATTATTCAACCATGTATTTATGTATATGTATCCATATAGGCTGTCCTTGCAGCTTGCACAAGTTGCACCAAGTCTCCAAAAGTGTTTTTTTAACTAGTCATGACTTTTTACAACTTTAAAAAAAATTAAAAATCTATTCTTTAAAATAGCTATCTTAATTTGTAATACTTAAATGATATAAGAAAACATAATTATATTATTTACTAATTAATACTATTTAACAAAATTTATTGTAAAACACAAGAATGTAATATATACGAATATACGAATGAATAGTTATCTAAAACAAACTAACCCTAAGAAGGAACATATTTTCTCTCATCATCTCAAACACAAAATACATTTTAAAGTACATTCATCTAATTTTTGACAATATTATGCACAGTATCTGTACTCCAATCTCTACATAGTTATTACCAATAATTGGTTTGACTTTAATAAAAACAATTTCAAAAAAATGTTATAGAACATTTTTTTAAATAATGTTAAAATAAATTTGTTAAAAAAAACAAATTTAAGATGAGAGTTAAGGTACCAGAAAAAATTAACTAAAAAAAATTCTCATGAGTGTGTTTATTCGCTACACCAAAAAAAAAAAACACAAACAATTATATTATGTTACCTATATCCCGTGTAAGCCATATCAGTTTGTAAAATAACTAAAGTTATGCACACGCATTAGGCAAGTTACGTAACACTTAAAATACTTAAATTAAGTATTATTTATTTTGTGTGGTATACCTAAGTTAAGAACCTAAAATAAGAATCAATGCTGTATATATTTAGGCTCCACTCAGAATATTATTTAGAAAATCAATAATAAGAACCTATAAACAAAAGTAGGATAGAACTTATACATTTTAAATTTACTGATATCAGCTAATGGTCTTAGCATATCAATTTGTATTTAGTTGGAAGGATGCACACCGCCAAATTAATAATAACACAGTAAATTAAAAAAGTAAATATTATAATAAAATAGTTTTTGTTTATAATTCAAATACAACCCAAATGATTTATAATAAAAATAGACTCTTTATGTCTATAATACCCGCAAGTTTAAGTATTTAAAAAATATAAGAGTATAATAAAAGGATAAAAGAACAATAAGAAGGGTAAAAATAATTTAAATATTATTCAATTTCTGGAGGCGGCAATGTTTTTGTTTTGAACAATCTTTCGAAAAAGGTGAAAATCTTCTCTTTCTTATAACGAGGTCTTGATGGGTCCTTGAAATCTACACCATAGATGCCGTATTTAGAGCTGAAAAAGATAATAAGAGACAAAATGTACATCACTGTGAGTTTTATTTTTACAGGGTGATCAATTCATTAATTTTTGGAGAATAAGTGTTGTGCATAATAATAGTTTTTTAAATCAAGAATAATTTACTGAAAATTCGACAATCAGTTTTGAATACTCGTGTTTTTGGATGAGCAATGTGCACTTAAAAAAAATTCACTACAAAATTGGACTACAATCCACCCTATCACTCCCTTCCAAAAGTTTAAACTTCAAAAGTAATTATTTAAAACCGCTCAAAAGAATAAATACCATGTAGATTGTTCTTAATTGAAAGTGTTCAATTCAAAAAGTAAATGAAACATCAACTTATAATTTAAGTTTTTAAAGTTCAGAGAGCTCTGGATAATACTAATAGAAGCAAATATTCGGAAATTTTATAATTTTATAAAATAACAGAACCAAAAATGTCTTCAATAATAAAAATTAGGAAAAGTTTATAATTTTTCTTCGGGAAAATAAATGGATAACTTTATTTTAGTTGTATTTGTACAATGCACATTGTATTTATTAAAACATTTTACCTGTATCCCTGGGCCCATTCTAATGAATCCAAAAATGACCAAACACAATATCCAATAATGTCGATATTTCTTTTTATCGCTTTATCAACTTCGCATAAAATACCCTGCAATAAAAATATATAGGTACGGATCATTTATTGAGGAATATCATTAACGTTCAAGTTGTTATTAAAAAAAATTAAAATTATTACATAACAAAAATTGTTAAATTAAATTTAAATATTATGTTTTAAAAGAGTAACTTACATGATGATATAATTTTTTTTCTAAGGATTGGTCCATGCTTTCAGTTTCACTAAACCCATTTTCACATATAAAGATTTTTGGATGATTCATTGTTTTATCTAAATAATCGACAATATTTCTGAAACCTTGATTTGTCTAAACAAAAAAAAAAACATTCAAATATTATATGTTTATTATAATATTATGAGTAAAATAGATTTGGTTAATTACATCTTCTGGCACTTTTGGTTCTAAAAATCCAAATAATTCAGCTCCCAAGTCTTTAGATTTCAATGATGTAGTTTCTTTATATTTTTCTGGAGTCATTGGTGCCGCATGCAGTGAAAAGTAATAATTGAATGCAATATAATCGTAAGCGCCTACAAATTTCATAAGTTTTGTTTTAAAATACTAATTTTTTATTTGAAAACGGGTAACAACATAAGACAATAACAGGCTGATAAGCTGAACGCTACTTAAGCTTTTAACTAGTTGGTTATAACTCGTAACATACCTAAGCATATAAACACAAATATTTCCATAATTTAAAACCACATTACCTTTGACGATTTTTTTTTCATGTTCTGTGAACTGCAAGATTCGCCATATGTTTTTATTTTCCATTTTATTCGTTTCGATAACGGAGTCAACAACGTTTTGCGGGTACTCGCCTGTCACCAGAGGCTGAATAAATATGCCAACCTAAAAAATCATTTAAATAAATTATGAAAATTATTCGTGTTTTTCTTATTGAATCTTTTTTATAGTTACAAATGATTGGAAGGCAAGATCGGCTGCTTTCTTGTGTTCCTCATCGTCGGCGTTTACCGGGAAAAACCAAATAGTATCCACACACCAGCTGATTATACCTAAGCAAATTATTACAGTTATTGCAAACATTGTTTTTACTATATTCAGTCATACTGGGTTCCATAATTAGTAAAAAAACATAATTAAGTTTAATTTGTGAAGTTTTAAAAACTTGTATGTATAACTTTATAACATAAAGTTATTACAGCTGAAATAAAAACAAGCAGCCCTATAAAAAAGTATATTAATGTATAATACTTGTAAGAATAATTTAATAACCATTTTGTTTTTCTTTGAACTGATCACAGTACATCCTATACGCATAAGCATGTGCGAGAATTAAGTTATGAACGACCATGTAATCAGCTATACCGCTGAATTTTTCTCCTAAGGCTGGAGCTGCTTGGGAAGTAGCATAACCTTCGGCTATTAATCTAGGCTCATTGATTGTGGACCATAATTTTACCTAAAATATTAGGGACAAATAAGTTGATATATAAATAACGATAATTAATACTGTGTTCTATCGAAATAGACTAGAGCCAAGGTGGATAAGTGTTAATAAATGTTTTTGAAAGAAGTATAGATTACACAAAACTTAAAGAACATCGGTAGACTGATCCTAAAATGTATTAATTATTTTTCTATATTTCTTTCAAAGCTATAATGTTTGTCTGTCTTGACTTTGGTCCTTATAGATATATTAAAATATTTGGTCTAGTTTTTGGTTTATTTATCACGACACGACTTGAATACATACTTTATCACCAAACGTTTCAAACACGAATTTACAATAGTTTGTAAAATATCTAATAATATTAGTGTTTGCCCATCCGCCGATATCTTGAAGAGCTTGAGGCAAGTCCCAATGATAAATGGTCACCTGGAAAATAATTTACCACATAGAAGCGTTAAACAAAATTAAAAATAAACTATACATAGTAGTTTTAATTTTTAACATGTACATAGCGAATTTGTCTTAAATAGTTCAAATGTATTTTACTATTTATTATTGTAAGATAATAAATAGAGAACTATAACAAAGAATAAATAAAGAACTATCAACAAGGTATGATCAATGATAAGAATATATAGAAAAGTAGAGTAGAGAAACAGCAAATTTGTTGCAAACTATTTATAAAAATGGCTTACCAATGGTTGGATGTTGTTATCCAGTAATTTTTGTATAAGATTTTTGTAGTAGTTAATTCCAGCCTGATTGGGTTCTGCATCATCTCCTTTAGGCAAAATTCTTGACCAACTCAATGAAAATCTATATACTTGAACCTAAAAAAAAATAATTTCATTATAGATTTCCGTTAAACACTCATGTTTACCCTCAACCTTTTTATGTACAGTTTGTTATTTTGTCTACACTGTATGCAATTGCATCGAAATCAAATGTTTATGCAAAAATAATAATTATAACAGCCTTATAATTCACGTAATGAATAAGCCGGACACACGATTAAAATAAAATAAATGATATTCCTTACACCAAGTTCCTTCAAAAGTTGGACATCTGTATCTGTTTTATTGTACGAATCACAAGCAATTTCGCCACCATCTTCATTGCAGTATTTTGTTTCACACTTAGGCGCATTACACATAGCTTCGCTATGTTTTTTGTCGTAATGGAAAAATCCTTTGAAAATATTTTCAACTCTGACTAACTTATGCTTGACTTCTTGGTTCTTGTCATGGATTTTTTGTACAATTGTGTGAACACCATTTTCAATAGTTTTCTCGACGTTTGATATGGTGTGTTTGGGAATGTAGTAATCATGTTTATCATGTTTTCCACTGTGGAAAAACTCATCCCAAATATTTGGGGTTTTACCTAAAATAGAATAAAAAAATAAATAATATATATATTTATTATATTATCAAATATCAATAGTTATGTATTTTAATTAACAAACCATCCTTATTCCACGCTCCTTCGACTTGATAAGCACTAGATCCAGTTCCAAGCAAGAAATTATCTGGGAATTTGATGGCTAAAAAATGTTGAAAAATTGTTTTAATGTTATAAAATCACTAATTAACAATGTAATTATTATTTGATTATAAGCTATAGGACAAGACGTACTTTCTGCTGAGTTTGCCATTTTGATTTTGTTTTGCTTTTACCGTTTCTTGTAAAAATTTCTAAACAAACAATTATTTTATTTAATGTTTAGGTATTCAGTGAACGTTACAAAAATGAACTTATTAGTTATTACACATAAGGCCATTATTTCCTAGAGATGCTTAAGTTCTTAATTGCTATTTTATCTGTTTAATTTAATACTATATATTCATAGTAATATAATATATAATTTTATTGAGAATTCATTTTAAAATTGTTTCAATATTAATAATCCTAGTTGAAATTTTAGTTATAAGTATAATATTAACTCAATTTTTTCGATGATATACCAAAATGTTGAAAAAATAAATTATGTGAAATAATTTTAATGTTTATCAAACAATAATAATTTAAAGTTTTTATATATTTTTTTCAGTTCTGTCCGCAGATTAAAAATAATACTATACTCCATCATTCCCCCCGTCCTATTGTATTAATTTTAATAACATTACAAGTTATTATGCAAAACTGGGTATTAACCGGTCAACATTTTTAGGAAACTACTCTGAACTAAAAAAAGTTAATAAAACATTTACGTTGCCATTTAAGAAGTTTAAGCTCGAAAGGTTTCAGCACAAAAGGAATGGGGTATTATATTGATGAAAAATAAATTAAAATTTCATAATATCTTATGAAATATTGACTGATTCATAGTTATTGAATCTCCTGTATAATACAAATTATACATTAAGTTAGCATTCGACACACTCCATGCATAGTATAAATATTATAAAAAAATGTTAATAAAATATTTTTTAAAGAAACAATTAATAACATAAACCATAATAAAAATAAAATTATAAAGAAGAAATTAACAATATATTATACAGTTAGTACTCAAATAATATATTTATATATTGTAGTTAGTACCACATACTAATATAAAATACTTTCTATGATTACTTATATTATTTAAGTGGCCTCTACAATAATATTTGTTAAGGCGCATCGTATAGGCAATTTTTTAATAAAACTTAATCTTTAATTTTTTTCAGCTTTTTTCTCTACAACTGTACACGTCCTTAGAATATTCCGATTTATATTTTGAAAAACATCCGAATTCTTTATAACATTTACAAGGCATTAATCGTGGAACAATTTTGAAATTGGTTTTAGTTAATAATTTCTATTTGATAAATTGCAATTTTTTAAGTTTTTAAATGATTTTTATAATTATTGTTAAAAAAAAATTATATTATATTTTTAAACTATTGACGGATTACTCGTTCTGAGTATAATTAAAATTAATGGTTTGCGACCAAAAACACGCATATGTAGAAGTTTGTTTTATTTATATACATTTTAATTTATTTAATTAAATTGAAAAAAAACACATTTAAAAAAAAATTAAAAAGTGTCTAATTGTAAGTTTATTTTATTATTCATAATGGTAATGAAAATCTGAAAAAAATGGTCTTGCTCAGAATATTTACTTCATTTCAATTTGTTAGAATATTTTTTTTATGTCTTTATTCTTATTACGTTAAGGCTTTGACAGCAAAATCATTAGCCGAAACATGTTACATTTATGTGTATATTATTTAAACCAAATCAACAATATTCAATATAGTTTAATAAAAAAAATAAAAGTCAATTATTTGTGAGCCATAGAATAAATAATTTGAGATGTTAACAATATGTTTTATTTTTAATAAGTAAATCTAATTTAATATAAGTATATTTACTTATCGTTTTTATTGTTAAATAAATATTTAAAATTAATTTATATCAAAGTTCTTTTTATATTAAATATAATTTTAAAATGTTTAATTTACTTAATAGCCCAGATTAAAAAAAAAACTACAAGTAAAGTACTCGAATTATCTCTGGGTATTTCTGAAAGCAATTCCAATACAAATAGGTCTTTATCTAGATTCGAGTACATTACCTTAAATTATGCTTGCACTAAGTGGGGTAAAACATTTTTACCAGTTAGCTAATAATAGGGCTAATCCAATTAATCAAAATGAGTAACCAGAATACTTTTTTAAAAACCCTATTTCATTTTTTTATAAAATTATTACCCTAAACACAAAGATACAGAAAAAACTTAAGCAGCACTCGAGGTTACACATAGTAAAGAATAAAATGTATAACAAATTCCTTAACTATAATACTACAATACATTTTATCTTACACGTCTATAATTAGTCAAAACAACTTATTTTGTTTTTGTTATTGTATTTAAAGAAAAAAAATATATTCAAATTTCTTTTAAATATATTAATTTAATAGGTTATTAAACTTTTAATTGCAAATTCATTATATTTTTAGTCTATAGTGCAAGTAGATTTAAAAGATTTTAATTTTTTTTTAATGTGCACTTTTTTTATTAGAAAACAGTTGGTTTTGAAAAGAAAAACGACACCTCTGGTCTAGATTTTTACGTTTATGAAGATTTTTAAAATAAATTTGCTTTGTATGGTACACAATATAAAATCATATGCTATAACCTATACAGATGTCATACAATTAAATTTATACAATTTATATGATAATTAAAAATTGTAATCTAGTTTTTTTAGTTTTAACGAGTATTCAACATTGATTGGACAACTAATAAAAAAACAATATTCAAGCTTTAATTCTCTGATTACAATTTTGAAAATTAAATCAAATAGCGATGTTTTTCATAGAAAAACAATGTTTATAAATAACAAGTTGCACATTAAAAAAAACAAATTTGAATCCATACACTTTGCTTACACTATGTAATTGACTAATTTAATCTTAAGATCTATTTTAAATATAATCATTAATTAATTTAATTGATTTTAATAAAACATATAAAAAGCAATAACAAAAAAAAATAACTTAAAACCATTGATTAGCATTTATTTGTAGGAATTTCACGATAATAATTGTACCTAAAATTTAAATTTTGTTTGACAGACATAGTAAAATTTTCATAAGCTAAGCCAAAAAATCGAAGCTAAACAACTTTTTTACTAAACTAATTTTAAGTGAAAAAAAAAATACAAAATACTACTTTTGTAAACCCAAACATTTACTATCATATTTTCCCCATCTTATAGGAAATATTGAAAATTATTTTTTTATAATATATACTTAATTTTCCCAACGCATTCGTTTGTATACTTTTCAAATTACAAAGTTATTTTCATTTTCTTTTAAATTACCATAGCAAAAAATCCTCAAGAATAAATAATGACATTTTATAAAATTATTTAACTTTTTAAACTCTCAAAGAAAACCAACAATTTGTATTAAATAATAAAGTAATCAAAATTTATTTTTTAGCAGAGAAAATCTGTTTTAGTTAGCTAATATTTTATTTTTGTACAATATTATTTTTATAATTTTAAATGCTTCTAGAATTTTAGTTTTATTATTTTTATGTTACAAGTACGCTAACTACAAACTAACATATAGTATTCTTAAGTAAAAATGTATTTTAAAAAAAACCTTACCTGCACAGATGAGGAGTCGTTGATTTTCTTAGGTACCTCCACTGGACTTCCAGAACTACTAGTTACCGACCTAACCGAAGTCATTCCTTAAATACCTAAAACCGCCCAACCGAGATTGTTATTCGTTTATCTACAACGTTTATCTTATCGACAACAGGCTAGCAAAAAAACCAACAGATATCGGTTTGTTTTATTGTAGTATACTATATATTATACGGGGTTGTCAACGTACAAATATACCGTTGTTTGCCGTTTGAGTAAATTAAATGTTTTAATAATCTATTCAATAAACGTTAAACACCCGTTGATTAATTTGAGCACGAAGTTCAACAAAAACCACGGTAATAAAAATACACAAACTCGAAGGTTAAAGATCATTTACATTTAAATTGATTATTATTACTTAATGTAGTTCATAATAATATTATAGGTACAGTCATTTGAGGCATAATTTTTTTTAATACAGTATCATTTAGATGATTATTTAAAAAACATCTTAATCGATTCTTTTCATAATTATTAAAAAGGTAAAACATAGACCGATCAATTGTTTTGATTTATATTTGAATGAATAATTATTTGTACGGGTTTTTCATAAATATCAAACCCAAATTTATTATTTAAAAAAAAAATGTATACAAAATACACATGGAAATATTGGAAGATATTCGAATATAATAAAACCAATTATTAAGTCGTAAAGCTGTGCTTAAAAAATACTCAAATAATGTTTATTTATACAATAAGTTGAATAAAAATTTGCCCAACTCTCTATATCAGGTATATCTGATTCTCTTTAGCACTTCAAAAGTACAATACCGGCAGTTGGGTATAATATAATATTATACAACAAAGCATTTTTCTAAATGTGATTAAATGATACTCAGAAAAACCAGTGTGCAAAATATATTTTTAAAAAGTAGCTTTGTGTTATTTTAAGATAATCAATATTATGTAAGTATAATGTAGGATTTACCAAACAAGAACAACACAATCTCGCAATCCCCGATGATGTCTATGTTAAATGATTCACGTGTTATAAAAAGTGAAAATAAAGTTCAGACTTAAAAATTGTAAACTTAAAAAAATTATTATATATTTTAATAATCCATATGACTATATTATTATATAATATAAAAAATAAAAAATACAATTAATACTATTGTAGAAATATAACTACAATTTTTACAACCAGCGAAAACTATTAAATGGCTTATCTTGAATAACAAGATAACAAATTTAAAATGTTGGAAAAACAAAAAAAATGTTTTCTGATAATCACAAACGTTTTAAAATCATCTGAAAAACGCAATAAAACTTTTTTTTTGCACTAGAAATATTTCATAATATGTTTTTTACAATTTTAGGTACTTATATCTGGAGGACTTATTCCTTTTCATAAATGAAGTATGAAAAATATGGTGGAACGGATATTAAAAGCGTTTCATTAAATTAAAAATACTTTATTTATCGTTTTACTGAACGAAAAAAAAAAGGTAAATGATATAAACAAGTTTATTTAGTATTTTTAATAAATAAATACTATTTGATTTCTTAATTAATTAAATTATAAATCTATCAAACTTGTTTTGCGTTTATACATTTTTTTTTAAAAATAATATTTAGAAAAAAACTAACAAATGTTGTACCTGTGATTCTTTTGACGGCCTCCACCAGTTTTCTCTGATAAATAATTTAATTTTTGGTAGTTTTTATTTTTAAAAACATATTTGTTTCAGCTATAATATTACAATGTTAGACAATATTCAAATTTTTATATTTTTTGGTATTTTCTAGAGCTCCATTAACTTTTAAATCTTAAGTGGTAACGTACATTTTAAGTGTTTTCACTATCGCGTGTTATGTTATTTTTTTTTATGGTAAAGTCATATATTATGTATTATTACACATTTTCTTGATTTTCACTAACAAACTTATGTTCTACTTAACCTACTGTTGGCGGGGCAACTTGCTTAGTCTACTCAGAAAATATTGAGCTGTCGAAAGACTACTGGAAGCGATCGGACCTTGTACTTGAGGCTCGCCAACGTTCGTGAATGTTGTACACATCGTTTACACTACCCTGTAGTAAAATATTATTGTTCACAATCATTTTTGCTTGTGTCTAATATCAGGTTTAATAATTATCAGCCGTTATTCGGGGTTTTTTTTTTTTGAAGTCCGCCTATGCAAAATCAAAATAGAATTATAACAACCCAATTAGTAAAGCTCATACTTTATCATTATATATTATTATACGTTATGGATTGGATAATACGGCCAGATAATATAATACAATATGAAATAATCTTTCTAAGCTCATACAATAGACGATAGTCGTGTACAGCGAAATGGAAATATAATTTGTTGTAAATATAAAAATCATTGAAAATTTCCCATGACTGGCGCAAATATAGCGTGATTACAATATTTGTATGGTAAAGAAAAATTACATTGGTAGAGATAGGTTAGGCATTGTAAACATAATGCTGATCTAAGTCAAACTGCGTTGGACTTGCGAGCGCTCATCTATGATAATAAATTGTCAAAGTAACATTATCACATAATATTATATGACCTTTGATGTGTTTTTATAAAATGTTAATAATATAATATATTATATACATATTTTTTTTTTACTCAATTATTGTTCGAGAATGATAATAAAATGTTAACGGAAATACAAAATCTTTCTTGCATTTCTAACATATACTATATTTATACAACGATTGTTTACAACAGCAAACAAGTTTTAAAGGTCAATTACTAAAAAATATCTATCACACAAATTGCGCTATCTCATCTAAACTTACAAATACTATAATGACAATATTGACAATAGGTAAATATGATATAAAATTAATTATATGATTTCGGGTCAATGTGTGCATACTCGTTTTAATACGCTTTATTCTAATGTGAATTAAATTTTGAATTATAGTTTTCCCATACGAATAAAATCTTACAAATATAGTTTTAATCGTGCGTGTAAATATATTTTATACAAGATGCCCCGTTCGTCCACTGGATGATTATAGAATTTAGAATACTTTAAACCTTTTTTAGAAACATTTTACTTAACAATTTTTTTTTCGGAAGTTTTTTCTTTTTTTTTATATATTTTTAATAATAATAATTTTATATTTTATGAGCTGAAAATTATACTGAAGATAGGTCTTTTGTGTATCAATAACTTGTAAAAAAAAAAAATCTGTACTCAACAATTTTTTTTTCAGTTTCTTTCTGTTTTCAAAATTATTAATACCTTGTCAGGTTGATAACATCACTGAAGTCTGAAAGCTACTGTTTGAGAGTTTGACTGCGTCAATTAAGTCAAGTACATAAACGACAACTAAACAGTGAATTTGTACAAGCGTAGGTACTTGAACTAATTCTTTTGGGAGGTCAGTAGAGAGAAGGTCTGATAATATGTGCAATTTTCGCAAATTAGATTTTTCTTGATGCGATTTAACAACGCACAAATTGTCCTGTTGGAACTTAAAACGTGTGTACACCTTTAGATGGCTTAACTCAATATAAATATTTGGACATTGAGATTGCTACTATAATATTACTTTAATTTATGTGTTCCCGGACTACAGAAATAAAAATATATATATTTATCACCGGTGTGATATGGCAGGTGTAAATTAACGGGTAAATATTGCGTTGCTGTAATGATATCAATCGTCGCTTGTGTGTGGCAACTGCCGGCTGTGAGCCGTATGAAGGTAATAATAATATAATAATGACTTGCCTACCTAATCGATGAGATGCACTTGGATAAGTTAGTGAAATAAAGGGCCGCGGCGCAACTGTATTCTCGAAGCCCTCTTAACGATATAATGGCTGCTTTAACTGCACGGTATCAAAAGTTGCCGGTCGGGCGAGCACGTCGTAAAGCCCCGTATAGGTTCAAGGGGGAGAGAAAGGACTAAGGAACAGAGGCCTTTCTCTTATTTCGAGAACTTTCTAAGTGCCGTAGAGTGAATAGCTGCGCCCGCATTTGTGGCTATCAACGAACAAAATCCAAAGTCATAAAACAATAATATAGATTTCAACTGGAGGTGTACACTGTACTCACCATATTTTAGAGACACGGTGTTTAGCCGCTGCGGGTGTTCTTTAAGCTGAACGACGAGATAACGCTGTGTAAAGTCTAGACACAGGACGGACCGACCTAGTCACCGTTTATTTACACTATTTATCTCTTCAGCCAACTAGAAAATCTGTAAAGTGCAATACCGAAATTCCCTTTGAAACCTTAAACGTAAAACGGTCTTCTCTAACTAGTCTATAAACAATATATAAATATATTCTCAATGTCAATGACTATATTATACTTTGGCGAACTCGTGATATATCAGTACGTTAGAAGTAGAAACATACATGTTTCTGTACAAAAATAGATCCTATATGCATTATGAAAGTTGAAAAAAATTAAATAAATGCAGCATATGTAAGTACTAGTAGCTCTATGTATAGTTATTAAAAATACTTGATTTTCCAGTAAAAGCAATATTTTCAAATTTCGAAGTTTTTTTTTTATTTATAATTTTTTTAAATAATACTGTAAAAAATAATAAAAAAATAAGTTTATTTTTTCATAAAGTAAAAAATTTGTTTTTTTATTAGTTTTTGGTAAAGCTATGTTTCGAAAGCTTTAGAAACCTTACTAAACAATTATCATTAAGTACAATTTTATTCACCCTGTATAAATACAATAATTAATTTAAGAATAAATTACTAACTATATCATGCATGTCTTTTTGATAAAGCTCAAAATGAGGGCACAAAAAATATATCCGAACATATAATCAAATCCGTCTTCCTTTTTCGCATTGGGGCCAAAATAATAGTTCATAATATAATGTATTATAATATGAAACAAAGAACTGTATTTACGGTAAAACTCTAATAATTAAGCTACCTAACATAGCAATAAAACAAATAAAATGTGTTTTCGGTTATAACAGTATGGTAACATTTTAATTAAGCTGTCTATCGTATTGTCAATAAGACAAACAAAATGTGTCATTTGGTAATTAAAAAAAAATAAAAAATGTAATTTATAATAAATTATGTTTAGTCTATGTATGTAAGTTGAGAGTATAAAAACATCTTAGTGTCATTCTTGCATTTATCGATTATATTAGTGTCACTAAAGTTAAAAAAAATTAAATTAAATAGCTACTCGGTTTACTTCATCAAAAGAAAATGTTTTACAATGTCTTAATTCCTTTATTAGTTTCAACTTTGGTACTTAACGATCGAAAATATGTTCTCTGTATCGACAAAAACAAAATAACTGACACACTTAATACGCTTTTGGAATCTCCGGGATGGAATAAGATTAGCAACTTGGAAGTTCGATTCCCTGATAAAAAAGGCGAATCTTTCACTGTAAGTAATTTATTATACAGAAACATTGGAGAAACCAATAAAAAAATTGTAAACTATAACAACTGCGCAATAAAATATAACATGATCATTTATTCGTTATCGTGTGTGTATGGAAATGCGTTGGTCAAATTTATAAATTTTACAAAAATGATTTTGTATATTGGCAACTTGGAAAGACATCGCTTAAGCCTAAAAAAGTGTAATAAGTCACGCAAAATGCGTAAGCAAGAAAATCAAACGCATTCGACACACGAAAAAAATAAACGAGCTAATGAAGAAGATCTTGTCGTTTTCGACCTTAATAAACCGTATTCTATTCAAGATTCTGATGAATTTATAGATTCCTGGAAAATATTTAATTCTGCAATAAAACAATTAAAGAAAAGTTGGTTAATGTTTGAGTACATGTCCGAAGCGTTGCGTTTTCTAACAGAACTGGTTCCGCAAGAATATGTTAAAAATAATTTACCTGAAATAAAAAATGTTGGTGACATTGTGTCATTATATAAAGTTAGCTCTACAGACATAAAAGTAATTTTATCTGCTTACAATGGGGAAGACGATGATTGCTACAAAGATAAAATCAGCGGCTTAAGCAAAAAATTTTTCTTTTTTCTCAACGCTTCGCAAGCGTTAGATCGTTTTTTAAACAACTGTTGCATTATACCAGAGTACGATCGACCACAGATCGTCGAAGAAAAAGATGTATTCAAAACTTTTTTTAAAAAAGGGAAGCGATGTACGATTGAAGACAAATTTAGAGTCGTACTACAATTGGAGTCCCAAATTGAATCGCTTGTAAATACAGTCACACAAAATTACTGCAAAGATTTGGGTTTCGATTTCACGAACTAGAGACTACGAAATAGATTATACTTATATGGTTATAAATAAGTAATGTTTACATTCTTTTATTTATTTCCAGAAAAACTACGTTCTAATACTTTTCATTCTGTCTATAGTGGTACCGACGTTTATGATCTAATAACATTCTGAATAATGAAACCTGTTTTGTAATGTAACAAACACTAAGTATTATTATAGCGTTACACTTTATATCATGTTATAAAATATATATTTAAAAAAATATATATATACATATATTATAGTCTTTTTTTTTACTTTAGTAAAATCAAAACCGTATTTCTTTTTTGTGCCAAAGCAAAAATAATAATACATGTATTTTATTATTTATTCAGCTGATGTCATAGCAAACAACATGACAAGTAAATTTAGTAATTTAGTTTGTCGTGACAAATAAGACAAACAAAATGTATTTTTTTGTTCTCAAAAAAAAATCTAAAATATTATTTATACCTATGTTGTTTATGTAAGTTGAAAACATAAAAACATCCGAGTTACATTTATGCAGTTATCGGTTAGATTAGTTTCACTAAAATTAAACAAAAATTAATTGCTACTTAGTTTACGTCATCATAAGAAAATGTTTTGCAATATTTCAATTACTTTATTGGTTTCAACTTTGGTATTTAACAAACTTGAGTGGGGTAATGTATTTACACTATTTACACAACTTGCAGAAACGTTGGCAGACCAGTGAAACTACTCAAGTGAGAGTAACCGCAATTTGTGCAAATAGTGTAGATCAAAAATATGTTTTTTGTATCGCCAAATATAAAATAACTGACACGCTTAATACGCTTTTAGAATCTTCAGGATGGAATAAGATTAGCACATTTTTTTCACTCTAAGTAATTTATTATACAGAAACATTGGAGAAACCAATAAAATTGAGTTTAGGGAATTTAAAGTATTATTCATTTTGTGTGGTATAAGTTTATAATACGAATATAAATCCTAAACAGTAATTTTATGTGGATTATTTTAACTGGAGAACCTATTTATCATAAATTATGTATTTACTGATTTAGGCTCTAATCAGAAAATTATTTAGAAAATCAATAACAAAAATGTATTAGTTTAATAAACAAAAGCACTTATAAATTCTAAATTTACTGATAGCAGTTTATGGCGGCGTTAATACATCACTTTTTACTTACAGTTAGTTGAAAGGTCACACATCGCCAACTAACAATAACACAGTTAATTAAAAATGTAAATATTTTAATAATATAGTTTACGTGAATAATTCAAATACAACCCGAATGATTAATAATGAATATAGACTCTTTATGTCTAAAATACTCACAACTTTTAGTATTTAAGCAGTACAGTAATATAATAAAAGTATTAAAGAAGAATAAAAAGGGTAAAAATAATTTAAGTATTATTCAATTTCTGGAGGCGGCAATGTTTTTGTTTTGAACAATCTTTCGAAAAAGGTGAAAATGTTTTCTTTTTTATAACGAGGTCTTGATGGATCCTTAAAATCTACGCCATAGATGCCGTATTTAATTCTAAACAAAAAATAAACATTATTTTGAATTTGTATGATAAACTACAACCGTATAAAAACATCTTACTTGTATCCGCCACCCCATTCCAAAGAGTCCATGAAAGACCACACACAATAGCCAAAAACGTTGATATTTTTCTTTTTAATCGCTTGGTACACCTCGTATAACATATTCTGAAAAGTAGAACATCAATTAAATATTTTAAAATCTCAGGAATTCATGTAAAAATATTAAATATAATATTATGTTAACTGTTATGAAATAAAAGTACATAAATCGTTATATTGTATAGCTCTAACAATATATTTACATAATGAAATTGTTTTTTCTCTAAAGATTTGTCCTCGCCCTCGGATTCGGGAAATCCATTTTCACATATGAAGATCTTTGGATGGTTTAAAACTTTATCGAACCAATAGAGCACATTTCTGAAGCCCTCGTTGATCTGATAGCCAAAAAAAAAAAAACTAATTTAAATAGAAGCAACAATTTTTAAATTTTGTGCACAAAAAAATTATTATATATAATTGATTACATCATTTGGATTGTAAAGACCGTCGTTATCCATTATGTCAACCCTGAGGTCTTGTTCTTTTAGGGTTTTATCTTTTTCCGAAGACATTGGTTTTGCATACCATGAGAAATAATAGTTAAAAGCAATGAAATCATAAGCCCCTACAAAATGCATAATATTTGTGTTATGTATTTTTTCATAAAAACAAATATTACCATAATGTATAACCACACCTACCTTTAAGGAGTTCTTTTTCGTGTTCTGTGAAAGGAAAAATCCGCCATATTTTTTTGTTCAACTGTTTATTCGTTTCATTAACAGATTTTACCACGTTTTCCGGATACTCGCCCGTCACTAGAGGCTGAATAAATATGCCAACCTAAAGGCAATTTTAAACATACATTAACAAAATTGAAAATGTCAAGTTTCTATCATTTGATTTCGTGATAGTTACAAATGACTGAAATGCAAGTTCAGCTGCTCTCTTGTGTTCCTCATTGTTTCGATCGTACGGGAAGAACCAAACAGTATCTACACACAAGCTGATTTGACCTAAACGGCAAATTCGAAATTGATTAGTTGTTTTTTTTTTCCTTAAAGTATTTTTTTACTGGTAAATTGACTGTAACACTCATACAAAAAATGTTAAACGTTAAGAGTGTTGCCAAATGTATGTAATTGTGTTATATGTACCTAACGAGGCTAAGAAAAACTGATCTAATCTGTGACTATTTTGATGAATTAAATAATGTCTAACCTTGTTGTTTTCCTCTGTATTTATCGTTGTACAATTTGTATGCATAAGCATGGGCGAGCAATAAGTTTTGAACAACCATGTAATCTACAATACCGCTATAATATTCGCCTAATGCAGGAGCTGAATGGGATCCAGCATAAGCTTCAGCTACCAACCTTGGTTCATTGATCGTGGACCAATATTTCACCTAAAAATTAATACCCGAGATAAATATTAAATATAAATCTACAAGTTTGTTTTACTTGCACTCCATTAATATACATACCTTGTCACCAAACGTTTCAAACACGAAATTGCAATAATTTGTGAAATATCTAATAATATTTGTGTTTGCCCATCCACCTAGTTTTTGAAGGCCTTCTGGTAGATCCCAATGATAAATAGTTACCTGTCAATTTATAAAATATTTTTTAACTTTTAAATTCATCAATTAAAACTGTTATTATAGTTTTCCATAAAATCGCATAACTATTGAATTTAATATATCTATATCAAACGATCTGTAAACCAATTTAGAATATATTTAAAAAAAAAAATAAATGTTTAACGAATCACGGTAGTAAAGTCAGAGAACTGTGGTCTATAATATAGTACACCTTAGTGACGGATATTTTTTCAAAATGTCCGTCAAAAATAATTATGTATTAAACATTTGAACGACAACAACTGTTAAGAAAATGCATCTCTCCACTGCAACCAATTACTCACATACTAATACATATTATTTGATTATGACTACATTTTTTACCTCCAAAAATGTACATAATGTCAATGGTTTTGTATAACAAATCAGTTTACCAATGGTTCAATTCCGTTATCGAGTAGTTTTTGTATTAAGTTTTTGTAATATGCTATTCCTTTATCGTTGTAAAAATAATCATCTCCATGTGGCAAAAGTCTTGGCCAGCTTAATGAAAACCTGTACACTTGAACCTGAAACACATAATTTTGAATTAAACATTTAACTTAAAAACTACAAATAGGTATAACTAAAAATGTATTAAACATAAACAATACTTTACAAAATATTACGTTGAAAAGCAACGTATGCTACGTACTACGTATACACAAATTATATAGATAAACTCATTGAAAATATATAGCAATACAATTAGTATTGTTAAAACTAATTAAATTGTAATCATTTTTATAACACGAACCGTATATCTATTTAATATTGAAAACATATCTGTTTCAAAATGTTAAATGATTTTAATATGTAACAGTGTTTGTATGATAAGAACGGTTTGATTGAACAGACATTTTATACATGACTTAAATAAAATGTATTTATTTTTTAAATTGTTCTACATGTTTAAAAATATTTCTTTTACTTATTCAAAAACATTTTGTTATAAAAAAAAACATAACTCATCTTCTGTGCATAAAATAATTGGTCAAGTTAGAAAAAAATTGTCCAAACGTGCTGCAAATTTTAGTTAATTAGCCGAATTTCGGTAAATTGTTACACTTAAAAATCAATAAAATATATAGGTTTAAATAAAATAAGTTTACTTACACCAAGATCTTTCAGAAGTTGGACGTCTATATCTGTTTTATGATATGAATCACACGCAATCATGCCACCGTCATCTTTAGTGTAAAGATTTTTGATTGCCATAAGTGATGAGTTTTTTTTTTTTAGAATATGAAATCCTTTAAAAATCGATTTTATCTCAACCATCTCTTGTTTGACGACACTTTGCCCTACTCCTTTAATTTCATTGACGGTTTTATCTTTAAATTTTTGTATTTTGCCATGTGGGTTGACAAAATCAACTTTTTCATTCAGTCCACTGTGGAAAAATGTATCCCAAATACTTGGGGTTTTACCTAAAATATAATGAAATAATAACAAATCGTAGGCAATAATTTTCATAAATAAAATTGCTTATCAAACCGTCAGCATCCCACCCTCCTTCGACTTGGTAAGCGCTAGATCCAGTACCGAGCAAAAAACCTTTTGGGAGTTGCACAACTGAATAATTATAAAGTAAGTTTTTTATTTAATATGTCGCAAATACTTAACATTGTTATAACTTATAAAGAGTATACTCACTTTCGTCTGAAGCCATTTTTGTTTTTCGTTTTTACAAAACAATTTCTAAACAAAATACAAATTTTTGTAACAAGCGTTTGTTTTGTATTATTTTTAAGAATAATCCAAGTTCAGTAAATTACTTGTTTGTTACTCAATAGTCATTACCCACAAGAAAATAATGAAAATAATAATTAAGTAATAATAACTAATTATTTTTAAATATTATGCATACTTGCAACTAAGCTCTCAAACGATTCTTACAATTTTTCTCTACGTTTAACAGTGGTATTTATTAGCTGTACATCTTCAAATATACAGGTTGTCTATTTCATCTTATACTTTTGAAAATTTTGAAAATATTACATTTACGAGCCTTACTACATAAGTTTATTAATCGGCTAATTAACATATTATGTATATCTATAAATATGATATCGAAGTATTAGTTACTATATTAGCAAGTTTGAGTATTATTTATTTTTTCGATCATTTGCCAACTGTAGTTATTTTTGATATAATGTTGTTAATTATTAAGACTACGACTAATCTAATCTATCATAAGTAAAAAATAAACATTTTACACTTACCTACGCGTAGACTATTAGCTTCATCAAAATGTATAATATCATACAGTAAGTTAAGAAAATTCAAACATGTACAAACATGAAAAAAATCACTATTTAAGTATTAAAAAAATCATCGGCAATGAATTAAATAAACATCTCGGACGAGTATCTAAGTGTGTTTAAGTAATACAGTGTTGTACTTATAAGTATAGGTAACTACTTTATAATCTTTCCATGAATAAATTAGATATGCACAATACGAAGTACCTACCTATTGGTACGAGGAAATAGTTCTATAAAAGCTATACCGAGAATTTCACAACACAACAATTGAAATGACAAGCAATTTATAATTTATAACAGTTATAATAACATAAATAAACTCAATAAATGTCTAATTACGCAACACATATTACACACACACATATTATCATCAATTGATACTCATTAGTTTTGATTTCAGTGTACCAATCGAACCATTAATGCTTAAAGGAATCGAAATTTGAGATCTTCCTCTACTCTAAGCCACTTTTTTTAAATTTTAGGTATAAAGTTGGCTGGTATTTAATCGGTAATAAACAATTATATAAATATGAAAAAATTTGAACAGGTAATTACACAAACTAACAATCTCATAATTTTCAATAAATAATGAATAGGGAATAAATGTGTGATAAATATAAATGAATTAATAATAATAATCGATTAAATTTATTTTTTATTTTTTATTTTCACATAGTTATGATAAAAAAACACTTTTTTCGTTATCAAAATGTTTAAAACTCGTACAAAATAATGTTATACTTAATATTTTTTGTCAAATTTTATTGCCTATCTGGAATCGAGACCTAAGAGTATCAAATTTATTATTATTTATAAAAATAATGGATATAAATATACATTTCTATGCGACATCTTATAATATCGGGTCATTTTACACATATGGTCATTATGTTATAATATTTAATAAAACGCTTCCTGGTGGCTGCTAAACACAGCGACAAGCGCAAGCTAATGAATACGCCTACACATATATATATATATATATATATATATATATATATGTATATACAAATTACAACTTTTGTAAAAAACCAACCATTTAATATCACGTTTTCCCTATCTTACAGAAAATATTTGAAATTATTTTTTTTATAAAATATACTATTTTTCCATCGCATTCGTTTGTATACGATTCAAACTACAAAGTTATTTCCATTTTCTTTTAAATTACCATAGCGAAAAATCCTCAAGAATAAATAATGACATTTTATAAAATTATTTAACTTTTTAAACTCTCAATGAAAACCAACAATTTGTTATTAAATAATAAAGTAATAAAAATGTATTTTTTCATCAGAGCAAATCTGTTTTAGTTAAGCTAACATTTTATTTGTGTACAACATTATTTTATAATTTAAAATGCTTCTATAATTTTAGTTGTATGTTATGAGTACGCCAACTACAAATGTATTTAAAAACAAATTTTGACTTAATTGAAAGTTACCTGCACAAATCACAAGTTGGATATTTCTACGGAGGTACCGCCGTTGGACTATCAGAACTACTAGGTACTGAGCTGATGGTAGTCGATCCTTAAATATAACTGCCCAATCGAGATTTGTATTCGTTTATCTCATTAAAACAGGCTTTTAAAACATATATCAGCTTTATACCGTATTTAAAGTAAATGAAATGTATTATAATCTGTTCAAAGACCCTTAAACGACTGTAGATTAATTTGAGCACAAAGTTCGACAAAAACCATGGTAATAAAAATAAACCAACTTGTAGGTTAAATATTATTTACATTTGAATTGATTATTACTGAATGTAGTTCAGAGCGTTTTAATGATACAGTATCATCCCTTTATTTAGCCTATTTATTATTATAAATAAGTTAATTAGGAACGTAAACTGCGATAATAACAGTAAAAAACCAAGGTAAAAAAAAATGTTATACACATTTTAATTGTACTTTTGACTTCTCGGCGAGACTTTCCAAATGTGGTTCAGCGCGTTTAAATGATACCGTATCACCCCTTTGTTTATCTTATTTATTATTTTAAGTAAGTTAATTAGGAACAACCACCAAATGGTGTTACGATAAAATCGTTTGACTTGTCAACAAAGTAAATCCTTTTCGTCATATTAAATTATAATATTATTTATTATTGTTGTTGTTATCTCTAATTGAAATATTCACATTCTGCCGTTTATTTATGTTATAATATTTTTTAGCACTTGCTACAGTGGGACCCTCAAGCCGCTTAACTCTAATGACAAATCAGCGATCAGAAAAATCTATTCAAAAGTTACAATGACGGCCAAAGTTGAAAAGGTTTACTCAATACGCCTACTTCCTAGAAATCGGAAAAAAACTAAAGAAATAATGTCGACTGAATACCATGTACAATGTATATTCTACTGCAATACATTAAGTGTTTAAATGGTTTGTGACCAATGTTTAATTTATTGACATAGGTTCTATATTATTAAAGGTAAATTGCTCAATAATTTTTAAAAATAACATATTATTTTAAAGTAAACAAAATTACGTCGAAATGTGAGTTTTCGAATGTGTGTTCTATATTTGTAATAATTTTTTTCCCTTGTTTAATGATAGAATTTAACACCCACGTAATATACACAGGGTTTATGCTAGAATCAAGGTTTGAAGTGTCAAAATGTATAGTCGCATCGCAGTCAATATGTTCCTAATCAATTCTGCATTATATTCCTGTTTAATAATCTCTCGGCGACTAAAAGCCACTATGAGGTATTTGATTTGGACGTCTTCACCTATTGCAAGCACAGTCGCAAAGTCTTGAAGTATAAAGAACCATTGTTTTGCGAAACCGAGTACACCGGAAGCCGGTTGGAACTTAAAGTAAACCAAAAGTCTCCACGTAAGCCGAAACATGATGACTTTAAAAAAATCATCCATCGTAGTTAAGTACATTTTGATAGGGACTAGATCGTTATTTGCCCAAAGAAGATCATGGGCGTTTGTCCAAATATCTACGAACCATTTTTTGGAATTTCCCCAATAGATTTCCGCACTAAGAAAAGCATTTATGAAATGTTGAATTACATTTAGTTTGCCTTCTGCACTTCACAAGATAATGTGTTTGGAATCAAATCTATTGTTTTTATTGGAAATTACTAACCCGTTATTACTGTTTTCCTTAACCAGGTGTCTTATACTAATTATGTTTTCTGTAAGCTTCTGCATTACAAAATGTTATTCACCCAGCTTATCCTGAGGGATTTTTTTTACTCTCCAGTCATACGGGTTACCCTCGCGACATTGATCGGCAATTTCCAGCTCGAGTTTATCAATGATGTAATCGTGTGTAGTTATAATATTTTGGGACGTATAAGTACCTGTAATTGGTTTTTCCAAAAACTGAAGTAACATTGACGTATACAAGTGAATGAGCCATATGGCTCCAATACGCTCTCCTACGTTGTACAAAGTAGATATCTGTGCTTTCATATTGATTTTGACGTCGGTATTCGATAATTCGCTCAAAGTTACGAAGTCTGGTCCACGCATGTTCAACAGTATTCTGGTCAATTAATTGCATGTGCACTAGTCCACTGAACCAGTATGCACATTTCAAATCGGGTTGACGGTCATTAACTCCTATGGGATAAGTATAACCCGTGTTCAACAAGGGAACGGGCTGCGCAAACCGTCAAAAAAGTATCACTAAGAACAAAGATATTATTTTCAAAAATGTTCCGTTCCGCATTATGATTGTTGTGAACACTATTTTTAATGTTTAATATGTTTTTCGCACGCAACAAGCGAATACACTTTGCAATGTGCTGTTATGTGTTTTGAATACATGTTTAGCACTATTTACAAATTCACCAGTTACGTTAACATTTCTAGAGTTTGCACAATTGAAAATAAGCTCGCACGATGGTCATATAATACTTTGTGGGACAGAAATGTTTGAAAATAATCTTACTTTATACCACATATCGTGAACCAATGTGATGTCAATTTCCCAACTTATTTTTTTTTTTTTGATAATATCAGATATCACAACAAGGAATATACTTAAATGGGCTTATAGGTAAAATATAAACCCAGCCAAAGGCGTCAAACAATTGTATAATTCACGGTCTCGCAGCTTCGCGACATGGATTATTTAACAGGATGTGCGCATCCATAATTGAACGAACCTTTAATATTTACAATGGATTCCGTATTCCCCAGAGTGGACATTTTAAAAGATATGTTATGGGGAAGAGATCCACTACCGAAAAGAGAGAGAGAGAGAGAGATTAGGTCTGCAAAAGCAATCGGTTAATAAATTCGAAATCGCCGAACCGTTCAACCGTGGTGTATAGTTGATCCACTGAACCAGTAGAACGGCTAACACATGCGTTTAATAATAATAATAACAGGTAGGATATTGTTAAATAAAACATTTTTTTCACCCACAGGAATTTACAGTCGATGAGCCCACTATAGAGCTGTTACGCTTCAGTTATTGTTATTATTATTTTTTTATTTCCACTAACGCGCGTCACAAAGGTATTATAAAACAAGTGAGTAATTAATTAAGTATAAACAAATTTTTTATTTGCTCGTTTTTTTACAGCATTGCGCTTGCTTGCATTTATACGACGGTTTAATAAATTGGATTGTTTACACTGTATGTAATTTTTTTTTTTGTAATTTTTCCTACCCCTCTCTTATATTTTAGGATAAAAAAACTCCTATCCTTAGTCTTGACCGTTGCTAGCCGAAGTATCATTTAGGCGCATATAGTTAGGTAAATCGTGATTTAGTTTTTTATGTTTAAGGAACGTCCAGAATTGTTTTGGATTGGATTTTATAGAATTTTGAGAGTAATTATTAAAGTTTGAAAAGTCTCTTTCCCTTATGTACTTACATTTTGCACGTAAATCTGAAAAAATTAAAAAATCCGAAGGTAACATTGTGTTTTTAAATAGGTAATGCGCATAATTTTTTTCTTTAATTAATTTTTTTAAATAATTGCTAAACCAATAAGGATAATTTGAATTGAAAGACATTGATTTTGGAATATAAAAGTCAATAACATGAAATAAATGCTGATAAAATATTGAAAAATTTAAGTTGATATCATTGTGACACAATAATTGCTTCCAATCAGTGGAACCCAAACAATTTAAAATAGCACTATAA